CAGTACCATGGTAAATGCTGAAAGATCAGAGAGACAAAGGAACAAGCCACAGCCACACTCTTACCTTGCCAATTCCTCAGCCAAAAGGGGGGTGAGATCCTGTCTCTATGAATCCTCAGACTGAATAACTGAGATCCTGTCTCCACCTGCCTTATAGTCAGTCCTGTCTCTACCTCCCTGGTGCTAGGATTAAAGGTGTAAGCCACCACCACCTGACTGGATCTGTTTCTCTTTTAGACTGGTTCAATCTCATGTAGCTCAGGGTGGCCTTGAACTCCTGATCTTCTTGCTTCTTCCTTCCAAGTCCTGGGATTAAAGGTGTGTTCCACTACTGCCTGGCCTCTATGGTTATCTAGTGGTTGGCTCTGCCCTCTGATCTTCAGGGCAAGCTTTATTTGTTAGAGCATAAACAAAACACACACACACACACACACACACACACACACACACACACACTTCCTTATCGTCATCAAGTACCTATTAAAATCTCATCAGATGTTCTTTAGAGGCTTGTGGTGGCTCTTCTTGGTTGTCAACTTGACCACATTTGGAATTAACTAAAATCCAAATGGCTGGGTACACCTGTACAGGACTTTTTCTTAATTAAATCATTTGAAGTCCGAAGCCCCACCTTTAATCTAGATCTTCTGAAGAAGGAAGATCCACCTCTAATCTGGGCCACACCTTCTTCTGGCACCTATGTAAAGGACATGGAAGAAGGAAGCTCACTCTCTTTACCTGTTTGCTCTCCCTCTTCCTGGAAAGTTCATTCATTCACTAGCATTAGAGCCTACGTCTTCTGTACTGGCATATACTGAAGACCAGATAACACATTAGCCTTGTGGACTGAACAACTACTAGATTCTTGGACCTTCCATTGGTAGACAGCTAGCTGGACCACAGCTTGTAAGCCATTCTAATAAATCCCAAATATATATGGGACACACTTATATATACATATATTCGTTTTATAGACTCTCTAGTCTAGAGAATCCTAATATAAGGTCCCTTACAGCTACATTTTAAAAAAATCTTTGTGTCTACGCGTGCATACATGCATTTTCATGTTCAATTGCGCATCTTCATGTACGAATGTGGGCTCACTGGTGTGGAGGTCAGAGGACAACACCCTGTGTTGGTCCTTGCCTACAGGGTCTCTTGCTGTTCACCTGGCCACTGAGTTTCCAGGGACTCTCCTATCTTCGTCACTCAAATTGTTGTAATAGCAACTGTGACATACTAATAACATCTTTTCAGTTTTATACTGGCTTGGGGATCTGAACTTGTACTCTCTTACTTGTGTGGTATTTTAGTCACTGTTCTACAGCTATGAAGAGACACCAAGACCAAGGCAACTGGAAGAAGAGAAAGCATTTAACTAGGGGCTTGCTTCAGTTTCAGAGGTTCAGTCCATTATTATCAAGGCAGGATGCATGGCTGCATGGAGGCAGGTGCTGGAGCAGGAGCTAAGAGCTACATCATGATCTGTAGGCAGAGACAGAAGCCTGTACCTGGCATGGGCTTTCTGAAACCTGAAAAGCCCACCTCTAGTGACAGATTTCCTCCAACAAGACCACACCTCCTAATCCTATCCAAGAGTCCCCCTCCCTGGTGACTAAGCATTCAAACATATAAGCCTATGGGAGCCATTCTTAAAACCACCACATTTGGCAAACACTTTACTCATGGAGACATTGCCCCAGCCCACAATCATTATTTCTGAACCAATGTCAATCGGTCCACACGGACCTTACACCTTCCTTAAGAGAGCTTACACATCTCGCTAACCACCACCCCACCTTCTCATGTTTTGCTGTCTGCCTCATTGTTAGCCCCTTCATCTCCTCTGTTAGCACAGCTTATTAAAGAGAATAGGCTAGTTTTCATTGTCAACTCATATTTCCTTTCCAAAAGAAAAACAAAGGAACATACATCCTCATCAAGCCACCCTTTCTAATGTAAGGATATTGGGTGCTTTTGCTGTTTTTTTTTTTTTTTTTTCCACTTAGTTCTCAGCCCATCCCAATCTGGACTCTACTCATGGATATAACTGCTCTTTTAAAAATCACCAACCATTCCAGTTACCATGACTCTCTAGGACTCTTTAGCTCTTACCTTACTTGGCTTCTCAGACATATTCCATTGTGGTAACATCCCTCCTTTTTTCAAAAATTGTCGGTTTTTCAAGACAGGGTTTCTTTGTGTATCTTTGGCTGTCCTGGAACTTGCTCTGTAGACTAGGCTGGCCTTGAACTCAGAGATCCACCTGCCTCTGCTTCCCGAGTGCTGGTATTATAAGGTGTGGGCCACCACTGCTCAGTTCAAAAACTGTCATTTTAATGGAACCCCACCGTGTCTAAGTTTTCTGTTTTGATCCACTAAGCTTTCTTGTCATCTGTTCTACATCACTCAAACATTATGTACTACAGGAGATTTATAGTCCTGAGTATCAATTCTGTGTGTTCTCTCTTTCTAGTACTTTATTGATTTCTATGTGGCCTCATATAGTGTCAGAAGAGGACGTTGGATCCCCTGGAACTGGAGTTACAGATAGCTGTGAGCCATCATGTGGGTGCTGGGAACAGAATCTGGGTGTTCTGCAAAAGCAACAAGCATTCTTACCCACTAAGTGATCTCCAGCCCCCTTTTCTAATAATTCTATCTCCTCACACAGCTTTATTTATCATCTGTACTTAACACATCTGAATTTCGATCTCCACCCTGGTTCATTTCTACCATCTTCAATCCATCAACTATTCTACATCTATTTGCACACCCCACAGAAATCTCAAAGTGAGCAAGCCCAGACTCATTCATTCTTGTTTTACCTGACCCATCATCATCATCATCCAATTTTCTTCTGATTTTTTTTTCTAGCACCATAAAGGTACTTCACTCAGTGGCTTAAGCCAGAAAACCAGGAGAATTTTTGGCTTCACCTTTTCTTCCTCATTACTAGTGCCCAGCATGCTCTTTGTGTGTGTGGCTGGAAGCAGCATGGACTGAACCCAGGGCTTTTGCATGAGAAGCAAGCACTCTACCAGTGAGCTGTGTGTCCAGCTGTCGTTTTACCTTCTGAGACAGGCGCTCACTAAGCTGCCCAGTGGCCTTGAACTTACTTGGTAGCTCAGGATGGCCTTAAAATTTCAAGCCTCCCCAACAATACATTCTGCCTTGTTTTCTGGTCTATATTAGCCTCCTAGGGCTACCTTAATAAAGCACCATGAACTAACTAATGCTTAACACAAAAGAAATCACTTCCTCACAGTTTTGGAGGCTAAGTTCAAAATCCAGCAGAACTGGTTCCTCCTGAGAACTCTGAGGGATAATCTCATCCATGCCTCCAGTAACATCTATCTGGTAGTTGCTGGAATTCCTGGGTTCCTTGGCTTGAAATCAAGCCACTCCAAACTCTGCCTCTGTGGCCAGGCTCTCTTCTTCCTTAAGTGTGTGTCTGTGTGCTTCTGTATCTCACTCTCCTTATAAGGATATCAATGACTAGATCTAAGGCTCAACACTTCATCCAGTTATGAAGAGCTCAATTTGATTACAAATTTTCATAAAAGGTCATAGTCATGGGTACCACGGAGTCAGAACACAGTTCAACCCATCACATGATCATGAAGAGTTTTCTGTATAGTCCAGAGGTAAAGAAATGGACTCTGGAGTCAGTTTGCTCAAGGGCGCCACCTTCTACCCATGTGATCCTAGAAGTTACCAACTCACTTCCTGCTTTAGAGTCCTTACCTGAAAGCTGGAATAAAAACAGAAACTATATCATAGAGCCTTGCTGCCCCCCCCCCCTCTCTCTCTCTCTCTCTCTCACACACACACACACACACACACACACACGTAAAACACCTAACACAAATCCTGCACACAACTATATAATTACTGGTTATTATCAATATTTAGGCTGTACTCATCTACCTGCCCTATCTGAGAAGGTCCTTTCCAAACCCACTCCTCTCCCTCTCCATCACTTCTCCATACTGTACCTAACAGAACTTAGTAACATAAACCTGGCTGTGTCACATCCTTGGTTACAATAACTATTTTTACCTACCTTGGTTTTCACACCAGAGTGCCACTACTCAAGGCTTCGGCCTCCAAATTTTTCCCTATCTTTTGCTTTCAACTAGTTAATATTTACTCACTTGTCAGACTTCAGGTCAGACACACTTCCTCCAGGCCTCTTCAGATTCTCACGTTAATATCACCCTACATCTTTCTAATATTTGGCACATCTGTTGCTCATTTTAAATTAGATTAAACTCCATTTTAAGGGCAGGTGATTGGTGTAACCTGCCTCTGTTACATAGGCCTGGCACGTATTTGTGTTCGTCTCTTCCGAATAAATGAAATGCATCGTTCTTGCCTGGGGGTTTGAGTTTCATTGATTCCAAGGATACAGTTGGTAGACTGAAACACATGACTCACACCACGTAGTCCTGTCTGTTTTGCCCTACACAGCAAGAAGCAGCTGGCCCAGGCTGGCATGAAGATCTGACAGTGAGGTCGAAGAGACCATAACGTGTGCCTGTCTTCATTTTTGTATTCCCCGACTCCAGCACGGTCCTTGGTACACAGTAGACACCCAATGGGGCGTGCTTATTGAATGCCGTGCTCCTGGAGAAGGAGTCCCTGCTAACTCCTTTTCCCATTAACCCCCAACTCCAACCACCAACCTCTACCGCTCTCCATCAGTCAGGCTCCCCTTCAATCATCCTAACAACCAGCATCCCGAAGGCGCCTGCCCTCCCAGCTCTTAAGTCAAAACTCCCACGCGGCTTTTCCATCTATAAAATCGCTAACACCACCACCGTCAAAAATGCAAGGACATGACTGAGCGAAATCCACGGCGGGCAGGATCGAGTCCGGGTTCCTCCGCCGCCCGCCCCAGGCTCCGCACACCCACCCCGGCCCGCCACGCGGGGACGCCCCTCTCCCAGGCAGCCGCCCGGCAGTTCCCAGCCCCCCAGCCCCGCCCGGACACGCACTGTTCTTAAGGAAGCGCTCCTCGTGCAGCACGGCGATGGCGTTCACGCACAGCAGGGCCGCCTGCAGCAGGGAGTACAGCGTGAAGGCCATGGTCACTCCAGACAGCTCCCAGGCCCGACTGACTCCTTCCCGGACGCCGCCCGCCCGGGACGTGGCGCCGCCACCGCGCCCGGCTACGGGAGCCCGCGCGGCCCAAAACGCGCTCACCCAGGAGCCCCGCCCCCCGCCTCTGGCTGAGCCCCGCCCTCTCTGGCTGAGCCCCGCCCCGCCGTGCTGAGTCCGCCGCAGAGTACGGCACCCTGGGGTGAGCCACAGGAAGTCTCGAACACTTGATACAGTACTCATTCTTCACAGGCAGGGGCTGAAAAAAACAGATGTAGAGTATCGCATAATTTTAAAATGTTCTTCATATTTGAAGTAAATATTTTTCTATTTTTCTGCCTACTTCTGCTTTTTTTGTTCTCTGTGGCTGTAAGAACTGAACCACACGAGAAGCTTGTATTGTGTTTCTTTTGAACCCGGCTGCCCGACGTGGTCGCAAGAACTGTATGGAAGTTTGTGCTCAGATTTTACCCCTGAAGAAATGCAGACAGTCAAAATGAACTTGATCAAACTCTAGCCAGAATGTAAATACTACAGAATGGGAAAGCAAGCTCTTTCTCCCAAGGCCACATAGAAAGACTTGAATATATTAGCATTTCTAACTGTCCATGGCTGCAGCCCTAGGATGATGACCCAGACAGCCCTCCTTGACAAGTGTCCCGTGCTTTGTGTCAAACGAGGGGGTCATGGGCGGAGGCAGGCAGATCTCTGATCTACAGAGCTAGTTCTAGGATAGCCAGAGCCACACAGAGCAACTCTGTCTCAAAAAACCAAAATAAACAAACAAACCAATAAATAAATAAAGTCTCTCAAATAACAACAGAAAAGAAACTAGGTAATAAAAATGTGTTAGTCTGCATCTTTGAAGGTTGAGTGTTTTAAACTGGTTGTGCCTTGGTGCTGAACTTCGGATGGATGTTTGAGAAGGTTTCATGTATGCCTGTTAATCACCCTACCAGACGTTCCTGCTGGAGGTGAAACTGTTTTCACAAGGTCAGTGATGACTTCTCATCATTCCTTCAGGATGTTTTGTTTGTTTGGGATTTTCTCTCTGAGCTAAGAGACTACACAGTTCATTATCGTATAACATCTTACCGTAATTTCTTTATAACTGCAAATTTGGAGTCAGTGTTTTTATTTGCTTAACAAGAATCAAGGAAATTTTCATAGTTGGTCTCAGGATAAAGGAAGGCTTTCTGGAGAGAAATAAAATTTTGGGGTTCAAACTTGCCTTTAGAGTAAGTTCCAGAACTTGGTCCTTACATACATTAGAGATTACCTTATTGAGCCTTTTATTTTCTCTCGCTGTTTTAACTTTTCCTTGTATCAATGCCTTTGACTTAGAATTGCCTGGTCTTTAACTTGAGGTTTCAGCTGTGTGATTTACTTTGGCTAAGAATGAGGAAGTGATAATACGCATACTCTAAGCAGAGACCTCCCAAGACGGTACACGTTCCTGCCTTCTTTTTCATGCCTCGATATTGTCAAAAGGAAACAACAGGGCCATAGGCAGGGCTTGCCTACACCAGCTGCTCCCTGTGCAATCACAGGGCCCTGAGAATGGACGCCGTAAGTCACCAAATATTAGGATTGTTTATTACACAGCACTTTTAAAGCAATAGGCTTCTTTTGGATCTACACATGCTTACTTTATTCTAATGGCCCCAGTACATTGATATTCCCTGGATCCCCACATTTAAGTCACCCATTCAGAGCTCAGTCATCAATTCTTGCCTGATAATCCAGCTGACTAACCCTTGGGTTATCTGCTAGATGTTTCAGATTTACCTTGTTCCATACAGAATGGACTTGTCTTCTGAAACTGACTTCTGTGTCAATTCATTTTAGTGAATGGCAATTCCAGAGCGGAGAGGAAAAGTCTAGGCTCATTACTGGGTCTCTTTTTTACTTTTACATCCTGCGTACAATCCAGCAGTAGGTCCTGTTAACTTTCACTTCAATAAATACTGTGGTTTGAATGTTCTCTCCAAAACTTATGCTGAAATTTAATCAACATTGTAATGCAAGGTGTGTGTGTGTGTGTGTGTGTGTGTGTGTGTGTGTGTGATATGTATATGTGGTGCGTACACATGAGTCTGCAGTGCAGATGCCCATTCTTAATAGTGGAAAATCCAGAGGAGGAGGTTGGGTGTCTTCCTATCATTCTTTGCCTTATTCCCTTGAGACAGGCTCTTTGCTGAGCCTGAAGTTCAGCTAGGCTGGCTGGCCAGTGAGCTCCCAGATCCATCTGCCTCTGCCTCCAGTGCTGAGGTTACAGGCACAGGCAGCCATGGCCAGCTCTTTTCAGGGGTGCGGAGGATTAGAATGCAGGGCCTCATGTTTGCATGGCAACCTCCCTTGCCTGATAATAAGCGCATGCCCATCTGTTGTGGAATATTATTTTAACTGGGCAAAGACGTGTTATATTGGTTTCCGTTGTGGAATATTACTTTAACTGTGTAAAGGTGTGTTACATTTATTTTTGCTGCCTTTGTTAAAGACGAAAAAGGTGTGTTACATTTGCTCATGCTGCATTTATTTGTTTGATTATGAAAAGATGTGCTGCTGTTTCACCTTCTCTGCCTAAGGCACATGATTGATCTCATAAAAGACTGAACGGCCAATAGCTAGACAGAAGAAGGATAGGCAGGGCTGGCTGGCAGAGAGAATAAATAGGAGGAGAAATCTAGGCTCAAGAAGAATGAGAAGAAGAAGGGGAGGAGAGAACGAGAGAGAGAGAGAGAGAGAGAGAGAGAGAGAGAGAGAGAGAGAGAGAGAGAGAGACCCCTGGGGCCAGCCAAGCAACCACCAGCCAGTAGACACAGAGTAGAACCTACAGGAAGAAAGGTAATAAGCCCTGAGGCAAAATGCAGATGAAGAGAAACAGGTTAAGTTAAAGGGGGGCGGGGGGAAGCTAGCCATAAATGAGCACAAGCTAAGGCCGAATATTCATAACTGATAATAAATCTCTGTGTCATGATTTGGGAGCTGGTTGGTGGCCCAAAAGAAAAAGCCTGGTACACCCGTCTGTGGTGGTTTGAAATGAAAATGGCCATCACAGCCATATTTGAATACTTGGTTCTCAGTTGGTGGAACTGTTTGGGAAGGATTCAGAGGCATGGCCATATTGGAGAAGATATGTCACCAGAGGTGGCCTTTGAGGTTTTAAATGCCGATGCCATTCCCAGTGACCTTTCTCCGCCTCATCCTTATGGGTCAGATGTAAGCTCTCAGCTACTGCTTCAGCGCAAAGCCTGAAACCATGCTGCCATGCTCTCTGCCATGATAGACATGGACTCACCCTCTGAAACTCAGATCCATGAAGTGTTTTCTTCTACAAGTTGCCTTAGTCATAGTGCTTTATCATTGCAGTAGAAAAGTAACTAAGACACCAGCACTATAACCCAAGATTTTAGGGTCAAAGTCTAGGCCCTGGCAGCCCCAACAAGTAAGGCCTGGCTGCTTGTCCCCTGTATGCCAATTAAAACCACAAAAGTAAAGAGCCAGGAAACTTAGTTGGTGGGGAGACATCCAGAAAAGGAACAAATGAGGGGCTCCAGTGACCTCCAAGCCCATATTTGGGGATACTAACATGAGGTTTAAGCTTAAATAAAGGACAACAATTGTGCATAACTCAGCAGTCCTACTCAAGATGTGGCCCCACCCATCACGGGCCTGTCATTGCTCATCTCTCGCTGGTCCATGTTGCAAGATGGCCTGATAAACTGTTTAGAATGGTGTGATGTCTCTTTTTGTCAGGCAAGTTCCTCTTGAGGCTAGCACCAATGCTTCTATCATTTCCTTATGTTAATTCTTTAGGCTTCACTGTTTCCATCACCTGGTAGTCAAAGGGAGGGCCATGTGTGTCTTTTTAGTGTATCTCCTTTCCTTCCGAGGGGGATACAGGGCCATTAGGAAGCAATTAGGTCACGAGGACTCTGCTTGTGAATAGGTTAATACTGTTACTTCAAAAGCCAGTTCATGGTAAAAGGGCGGATTCCTGTCTCTTTGCCCTTCTACCACGAGATGACTCAGCAAACATTCTCTCTCCGCTTGTTAGTTACAATTGTTAGCAAAATTAGTTACAAGTGGTTAGCAAACATTCCCTCACCGGTTGTCAGCTACTGCTTCCGCACCAAGCCTGAAGCCTCGCTCCCATGGCTTAATCTCTAACTGCTTCTCGCCTTCTCGCCTTCTCGTCAACTGAAATCCTGGTCTCAGCTCCCATCACTTCTGGTGTAGCTCTGTGAGGTTGCCCTCCAAACAAGCTTGTGTGTCCTGGGAAGGCCTTCCTCTTTCTCAATTAATTCTTCCTAGAGCATCCTAAGTACTTACGAAACCAAAGAATGAAAAGAAGTTCTTTGTTGGGAGAGTTTGGGTCATCTGTCCCATAGAACTCCCCACATTTTTATATTCCCGTCGTCCTGTCTGAGCCAAATCATAGGAGAAAAATGAAAACACTGGCTGATTAAAGACACAGTCACTGTATTTACACTGCCTGAAACCCTTCACTGATAATGAGAACAATGAGGTATGTGGTAATTGTTTCCCCAAGTTAGATCTTAGAAGACTCTTTCCACAAACTTTTTGACTTGGCCCTTTCTCTTTCTGGTTTTAAACCTCAGCATCTCTTTTCCTGCAGTCATTAAAAAAATATCGCATGGAGAGAGATATTATTTGTAATTTATTAAAAATTTAAACTCAGTTTGAAGTTTGACAAAACTGGATTTTTTTTTAAAACATTTTTGTCCTGGTGATATATTTAGTAGATTCATTTATTTTCTTATCTATGTCTGCAATGGGAATCAATGGTGACTGAGGTATGTTTGCTTTTAATCCTGTTATTTACAAGAGCAACCCTGAGTTTAAATGGGCTTATGGCAGCAGAATTCACCCAAATGGCTTCTATTTGGGTCAGCATTGGACCAAAATAGAAAAATGCCACAAGTGAGCTCCATTCATGTTTGTGGACACATATAAGCTATTTCTGCTCCAAGACTCAAACGAAGCCATCTGCAAGCTGAAAGCTTGTGAATTATAAAGGGTTTCTGGAAATAGGGCCTTAAAATGGAAAGTTTCTTCAAGAAATAAAAATGAGTCACCATGCCTATTTTAAAATGGTATTAATCCTAACTACTTATGTTGAGCTGACTAATTTTATGTCAAAAAGTACCACTTCGAGTAAATAAAATCAGAATTGAAAAAAAGTAAAGAAACTACTTAAATGAGTATCATTTATTCACCCATTCATTCATGTGTTCATCTTTTTCATTCATCAAGAATTTATTGAACTTTAGGAGATAGACAGATGGTTCAGAGGCCAAGAGCACTTGTTATTCTTGCAGAGGATCCGGGTTTGGTTCCCAGCACCCATGTGGTGGCTCAAAACCATGTGTAACTCCAGTTCCTTGACCTGTGAGGGTGCCAGGCACACACATGCACAGACAAACATGGAGTGAAAATACTCACACATGTAACATAAATAAATCTAACAATAATTTAAAGGAATTTCTTGAACTTTGAAGAAGTATGTTATATCATTCAGGGGGTGGGGGAGGTACAGTAGGGTGAGCACAAATAATCCGGTGTGTTTCTTTTGCTGGGATGGGAGAGGCTGCCTACTAAGAAAAATGAGTTACAGACTACAAGCAGTTATAAAGATGCAGACAGTCAGGGCTAAGATGAGTGGGACATGGAACAAAAGGGTGGGTTAGGGCTGGGCTGGGCATCAGGATCAGCTGAAAGCTTTAAAAATACATGTAACAGTCTTTCAGTTCAAGGTGGTGCATGAAACACACAGGGATGGAACTTCATGGGCCCTGCTGTGGGATGTCCTTCTGTATGCTGTGAATGTATTGTTGCTTTCATTGGTTGATAATAAAGCAGTTTTGGCCAATGGCAAGACAAGATAAGGTTAGGCGGAACAATCAAACTGAGGGCAGAGATGAAGAAGGGCAGAATCTGGGCAGAGGAAGCAAGACATGTAGACAATGATGTAACAAGCCATAAACCACATGGCAAAGCATAGCTAAGAAATATGGGTTAATTTAAATGTAAGAGCTAGCTAGTAATAAGCTTGAGCCATTGGCCAAGCATTTATAATTAATATAAGCCTCTGAGTGGTAATTTGGGAAGCACCTGCTAGGTATAATTGGGCATATGGGACAGAAAACTCCGCTCTGTTTACAGGGCCCCTTCCTGCTCCATGCTTGAATGGCTTGTTCTTGAGCAGGCCTATGTATGCAGGCACAGTTGTTGTGAGTTCATGCATGTAAGGGCTGTCATGTCCTGCAAATACTGTTTTGCTGCAGATGCTGGTTCTTAGAATCTTTCTTCCTTATCTTCTGCAAAGATCCCTGAGCTCTCTCTCTCTCTCTCTCTCTCTCTCTCTCTCTCTCTCTCTCTCTCTCATACAGCTTTTTCTTTGGAATTTGTAGAACATCTCTTCAGGCCCTTCTGGATTTTAGAGTCTCTGTTGAGAAGTCCTGTGTTATTCTAATAGGTTTGCCTTTATATGCTTGGTCTTTTTCCTTGCAGCTTTTAATATTCTTTCTTTGTATGTTTAGAGTTTTGATTACTATATGGTGAGGGGGACTTTCTTTTCTGGTCCAATCTATTTGGTGTTCTGTATGCTTCTTTGTACCTTGATAGGCATCTCTTTCTTTAGGTTAGGACAATTTTCTTCTATGATTTTGTTGAAAATATTTTCTCTGCCTTTGACTTGGGTTTCTTCTCCTTCCTCTATTCCTACTATTCTTAGATTTTTTTCCCCATAGTGTCCTTGATATCCTGCACTTTTTGTGCCAGGAGTTTAAATTTTTCTTTTGTGAATGGGCAATACATTGCAGAGATTCCTCCATCTTGTATTCTTGCTGTGGCCATTTAGAGTTAACTAGAATTTGATCTCCTTGAGGGAGAATCCCGTGGAAAGTTACCCAAGTGTATTTCAGAAACCCGAGGTCAAGATGCTAACTTATCTTCGCTTCTGTTAAACCGACTGCTTGGGCAAACCTCCCCCTCCAGCTCACAGCTTATCTTAGCTTCTGTTAAAACCTCCCCCTGCAGAGTCTGAGTGAAATAACAGGATATGGTTTATGTCTTTAAAGCCTTTTACCCTAAACACTCAGGGCTACACTTGGGTACCAAATACCAGAGTGTAGTCCCAGCCAGCTGGACTAAAGACTTTCAACTGTCTATAAGCTATGTCCGAGTGGTCATCTCTGATGGGCACCTTGTAACACTTTGACCAAGGGAGATATCCATTTCTTCTATCATGTCTTCAGTGCCTGAGAGTCTCTCTTCTATCTCTTGCATTCTGTTTAGTTCCTAAATTTTTTTGTTTCTAGATTTCCCTTGATTTGGGTTTTCTTGGTTGATTCTATTTTCCACTTCCGGGTCTTGAACTGTTTTATTCATTTCCTTCCACAGTTTGTTTGTGTTTTCATAGATTTCTTTAAGGGATTTACTCACTTCCTCTTTAAGGGCCTCCGTCATATTCATAAAGGCTGTTTTAAGGTCTTCTGCTTCAGCTACGTTGCCGTTCTCAGGGCCTGCTGTGGTAGGGTTGCTGGACTCTAGTGAAGACATTATCCTGGCTGTTATTGATTGTGTTTTTATGCTATTGTCTAGGTATCTGGGTTTGGAAGATTGCAATTCTAGGTGCTGATGTCCGGTCTTGTCTTTGCTGGGTGAGTGTTTAGTTCCTTGGTTTCTGTTGCCTTCTCTGGTTCTTAAGAGAGTGTGGTGGCTGTGTTGCCTGGTAGGATATTCTTCTGGGATCCTGAGAGGTGTGGCCAACTTGAGGTTTCAGGTAAAATGTGTTTCTGGGTATTGGGAGGTGGCACTCAGGGATGGGGATGGGCTAGAAGAGGGAACTTAAGGGCCCACAGGAGGGAGGAAAACAGGGTGTTCCACAAAAATCTGCTTATTCCCCTGGGAATAGAAGCAGAGAGTGAGGAGAGGCCACAACAGGTAGTCTGTTTCAGAGCTGGGGATGAGACTGGGGGATTGAATTTGGAGGACCTTAGGGTGAGGTAAAGATCTGCAGTTAGTTTATCTGCTTCCCTGGCTAGAATGGTGGGATTTTTTTTTTTTCCAGACAGAATTTCTCTGTGTAGTTTTGGTGCCTGTCCTGGATCTCGCTCTGTAGACCAGGCTGGCCTTGAACTCACAAAGATCCACCTGACTCTGCCTCCCAAGTGCCAGGATTAAAGGCATGTGTCACCACTGCCTGACCTCTATGGCTAACTAGTGGCTGGCTCTGCCCTCTGATTTTCAGGCATGCTTTATTTGTTAGACCATACACAAAATATCACCACAGGCATCAGCTTGGCTCACTTGGCAGTGGGCAGTGTCATTGGATGATAAAACTCAAAGATTTCAAAGTCTCACTGGCTCTAGGTTCAAATTCTTGCTTTGCTACTTCGTAATTTAATATCTTAACCTAGAGGTCAAATTCGATAGGCTCTACTTCATAGGGTTATTGAGAGGATCATATAAATTAATAGACCAAGGCATTCAGCACAATGTTCAGCTTATTGTAAAAACTCAACTGCTGCTCACTGCTGTTACACACTGTGAATGGCTGCCAGTAATTGGATAGTCTCTTCAGTTAGGCAGAGCTGAGAAGACAAGCGCATTTAAAATCTCAGTTTCACCAATGATAGTTGGTGCTGAACTCCAGCAGTATTTAACCATGTTTTAAAGTACACAATTTGGGGGAAATGTTGAGTCTTTGAAAAAGTCAATCTCTAGAGGGCTGTAAAAGCTATTTAAATCACTACAACTAATTACAAGGAAGTATAAATCAATAAACTTCGCTAAATGGCCTAAAATATAATAAAGAAAACCATCTTTAACAATCATCCAGGAAGCCACTGTCCTTAAAAGAAGATGTAAAAGTTGGATGAGAGCAACGAGTCTTATCGTTTGAGAACGCCAAGCACTGCTTGCAGGGAACTTCTTGCTTTTGTGTGGAGTCAAGGGGGTTGAGAAAGATTACTTATTTTGGAGAATGTGAAACTACTATTTCTAAATGACATGTATATTTGTCCTAGAGTAGAAAAAGGTGGCCATCTGTGGAGAGGTGTTTTCCAAGCATCCTTCTCAAGTGAAAACCAGTCCCCTTGGATGTTCTCCTTGAGACGGCAGTTCTGTTTCAGAGCCCAAATCAACTCAGACCAAGCTATAGACAGAGTCTTAGCTCCTCTCTCCCAGGCTTGCCTGGCAGATCCTGGCTCAAATTTAGGCACCCCAGGGCTGTGGCCTGATTTAGCAAACTCCCCTTGCTTCCCTACTGTCTAGGAGAACCAGTTACCATAAGAGGTTTGTCTCTTTACACCGTGTTTGTTTTTTTTTTTCCTCAGTGTTCTTTTTATCCAAAGGCTGCAACCTGCCCACACGAACCACGTGAGCAGCAGCAGCGAGTGCAACACTGGACAGATGTGCTTAAATAACTATTCTGTGACTTAAAGGACCCGTGAGTAAGTGAGCGGCTGATAAGGGAGCAGATAAATGCACTTAGAACTTTGCCTTTGATGGCTGCATTTCCAGCCTTAATACTTTCATTTTAAAATCCACGTTAACAGCAAAGCTTTGCAGTTTGAGATATGTACGTTTGATGAGTGAACGTGAAATCAGTTAGAGTAAATCTTGGGGAGAAGAGCAGGATAAGGACTCAGAGAAGTACAAGGCCAAATCAAAGCACTGAAACCGATTTCCTCATATCTTGGCTCCAGAGACAGTTCCAGAAAGGACTTGAGCATGGACAATCACTCTGAGCTAGGCAGACCCATCTCAAAGTGACTCATCAGAAGGGCTATGCTCATTTGAATGGACGAAAAACTAGCCCACTAATTTTCTGGCTTTTTAAAGCTATGTGGTAAGGTTACACAATATTTTATTAAGTGAAACTAGGGGGAAATATCCAATATGAAGTGAATAAAAGCTCATTTTCCCTGCTTTCTTTCTGATATAGAAGAAATCTGGAAATAAGAAGCCCAAGGTTGGAATGGTAATTCAGTAGTTCCTCAAGCCTCTGTTGCCTTCCTGTGTCCTATTAGGATATTGTTTCCATCTTCAAAATCCCCAGCTTGCCCCAAATGGCTGCTATGACTTCATTCACTTTACAGACTTCAAGAGACAAGGAGAAGAGGTCCAATGAGATGGCTCAGTGAGCAAAGAACTCATACAAGCCTCAAAATCTGAGTTTAAACTCCAGAACCCACATAATGGTAGATAGAGGAAATTGACTCTGGAGTTGTCTCTCTGGCCTCCACATGTGCACCATGGCATGTGTGTATGTCCCTCACCACCCCCTCGTCTCTGTCTCTGTCTCTGTCTCTGTCTCTCTCTCTCTCTCTCTCTCTCACACACACACATACACACACACACATACACACTATCAGTTCCTTTTCTGTCAATATATTAGAATACCTTGACGAAAAGCTTAGAGGAGAAATTTATTTTGCCTTACATTCCAGAGATAGAGTCCATTGTGGATTGTGAGGCTGCATAGTCAGAAAGCAGAAGCCAGGAAGTGAAGGAACAGGAAATGAAGGAACAGGAAGTGAAGCCAGGCTATAAAACCTCTGAGCCTGCTACTCCCTCCCACCAGTGATGTGGTTGCTCCAGCAAGGCTCTACCTTCCAAACATAACCTTCCAAAATAGTGCCACCAAGGGTTCAAATACATGAGCTGGGGGACATTTCACATTCAAACCACAATAACGCTTTCCCTCACAAAAGAGGGTATAATGGGAAGAAGGTTTGGGTGGGTATGGGAAATGTGATGAGGTGATCAGACCCAGGGCATGCTGTACAGAGGGACAAAGGAGCTGTCATTGGGCCTTGGAGTCAGTAAATGACATGGTCCCATATCCATTCCACATGACAGAATTCCTTTTCTCTGACTGTCCTGGCTTCTGCTGCTGTGATAAATAACCCTGATAAACATCAACTTAAGGAAGAAAGGATTTATTTAGCTTACAGTTCTAGGCTGTAGTCCATCCCTGTGGGAGAGTCAAGGAAGGGACTTGAAGTGGCTAGGCACATCACAGGAACAGTCAGGAGTAGAGAGAATGCATGCGTGCATGCCTACACTCAGCTCATCATTTCCTCTTTTATGCATTCCAGGACTCAAACCCAGGGGATGGTGCTGCCCACAGTGGGCTGGGTCTTCCCATTTCAAAGAACAGAATCAAGACAGTCCTCACAGACATGCCTTCAGCCCAGCCCAATCTAGACAATCCCTCACTGTAACTCTCCAGGTGACTCTGTATCAACGACAAAGTAACCATCACACTAACACTCCACACTGTTGATCAATGCTGCCTTTACTTCTTAAAGGACAGAACTCTTCTCTGATTGATCATGTCCCCTGTAGCTAGGAGAGAGTTCTCCCTCTGTTGTCCACACTTACTGCTCAATGTAAGGAAATCGGGATGTGATGCCCCTCTCTCCTTGCCTGCAGCAAACTCAAGAACGACTATGCGGGCACTCTGAGGACTGGAAGCATCAGGCTGACATCTCTAACAGGAAATGTGTTATGAGTTGGGTGGGCTGAAACCTTGCTTTGCTTCAGCCTTTTTTGATCTTATCATTTAATTGGGCATTAAATAGAGAATACCGTGTGTCTCGCCTGTCTTCTTCATTAGCCAGCATTTGGGCTGACTTTGGATTTTGACACGATTAAGGCAGTGAACAAGAAGAGCATGACATTGTTCGGGTGTCATTTTGGAGAGCCAAGAATTTTTATTTGTCCTTCCAAAGAGTGGCTTTATTTTTAGCCCCCCACAGCGCTGCAGATGAATGTCCTGTCAGTTTCTACTAGGCATCTCAGATAGCCCAGGCATATCCAGTTTTAGCAAGAAATTCTTTTTGTTCCAGCTTAAAAGCACCACATGTTACTGCAGGGGGGTGGGGGTGAGGTGCTCTCTGTCCTAATGAGAAGCTGCGTGGGGTAAATGCCACGTTTCCACAGCACATGCTGGAGTCCTTGATGCTTTTTCTACGAATGCTGTTGGGCTCTGATGAGTTGCTTTATGCTGGCATGGAGGAGTGTTGGGTTCTAGTGCTTAAAGGGAAAAGAGACTTAGATAAAAATACCTTGAGAAATGGGGCTCTGTGGGCAGGAAAGCCTTAGCACTCAGGGAGAGGTGTGCAGTGAAACGTCTCTGGAGCCTGGGATTTAGGAGACTGGGAAGACACCAATGTAGCTTTCTGTTCTCAGCTGCAGAGGCCACTGGTCTCTGCACTGAGTGTGCTCATCATATCAGTTCAGAGCTATGCTAGGGTTGGAACTTGGACATAGTTATCAAGTTATCCAATTCAAATTTCCATTTTACCTCATAACCATTTGCTGGTATTTGTGCCACCACAACCAAGACATTTGAAGTTGCAATTGGAAATCAAAGAATGATGTTTTAGGCTGGTTTCTCAAACAGGTGTCTCCCCCTGTCCAGGCCCATCCTTAAAGGGAACAATCTTCATTGTGGCATCTTCGTCTGTTTCCTCAGGTGGCTGCAGGGACTATTTACATATTGTCTCCTATGTGGCCTCTCATTCTTCATGAGCCAAGAAAAAAGGTAGAGATGAGTAGGCTTCTTTTGGTTTCATAATGTGCGCTATGGTTTCCTCTCAAGTCACTAGCCTGAGATGCTACTGTCCGTGGTTGAACCTTAGATGTAGAACCTCATGGGAGGAAGTGAGGTTATGAGGGGTGTACCCTTAAGTGGAATATGGGGATCCTGGGCTTCCCTGTTTTTGTCTCTTGGCATCCTGGTGCCTCTACACATTTCCATCATAGTGTGATGCCTTGTTATCAGCCTAAAGGCAATAAGGTCAGCTGACCGTGGACTGAAACCAATAAGGCAAAGTAAGTTTTTTATTCTGTTTTTACTCGTGTGTGTGTGTGTGTGTGTGTGTGTGTGTGTGTGTGTGTGTGTGTTGTATGTTCACATGTGTGAGTGCAGTCATGTGCATGCCAGAGTGCATGTGTGGAGGTTAAAGGGAAACCTACAGCACTGGTCCCCACCTTATACCTTGTTTGAGATAAGGTCTCATCTGTGCTGCATATACCAGGCTAGCTAGCCCATGAGCGTTCATGGTTGTCTTGGCCTCTCATTCATCTTAGGAGCAATGGGATTATAGATGCATGCTATCACATCGAGGTTTTATGTGGGTTCTGGGGGTCCAAATTCAGTTCTTCATTACTTCTGAGGAAAGTGCTTTATCCACCATCTTTTCTCAATCCTTTCTTTTTTAAAATGTATATGTGTGTATGCCTGAATACATGTGCACCATGTGCATGCAATACCCAAAGAGGCCAGAAAAGGGCACCAGGTCCCCTGGAACTGTAGTTGCAGTGTTGTGAGCCACATGATGTGGGTGCTGAGAACCAAATCCAGATCCTCTGCAAGAAGACCAAGTGCTCTCAGCCTCCAGGCCATTTCTCCAGCCCCAACTTTTTAATTTTTATTTTATAAGTTTATGTATTTCAGATATTGGTTACAACATCAGGAAGCTAACACAATGTTTCGGCAAAGATAAGAATGTGTATCTATCTCAGGAGGAAATTGGGGGCACTTCGTTAGATAGTTCATGATAATAGAGATGGTGTCGAAAAGTGTTAGACATCATGAATACAAGTTTTTAAAAATTCACTTTACTGCTATTGTTGTGTGTGTGTGTGTGTGTGTGTGTGTGTGTGTGTGTGTGTGTGTGTCCAAGTGAGTGTGAAGATGCTGCATCAGCACCAGAGCCCTGGATCTGGAATTACAGGTGGTTGTGAGTCCATGGACGTGGGTTCTGGGAACTAAACTTGGGTCCTATGCAAGAGCAGCAAATGCTCTCAGTTGTTGTCTCTCCAGCCCCCCGGGATGCTTTTCAGGTATCTTTTAAAGTCTGTCAAGGGATGCTAATAGTGGGGAGTATCTTCAGTTAGGATGGTCCTTGGCAACTTCATGAAGTCATCCATGGTGGACCCAGAGCACCCTAGACATTATTGCTGCAAAGGGTCACAATTTTGGCTCTTCTGTTATTACAGCTAAAACCTTTTTTCCTTTCTGCATAAAACTGTTATCTGGATTCGGATTTGCCGTCACAGTGAGGAGGAAGCCATGCACGAGCTCTGTCACCAAGTCTCACAGAAGACCTGACAGGAATCTAGAAGGATCCTGAGGTCAGGGAGTGGTTCCCACGTGCTGACAGAGCCTAACCTTTAATAACCATCTGTGAAGGAATTCTGTTTTCAAAAATAATTTATTCAAGTACTTTATGCCAAAATAACTCTAAAAAGCATTAGTTACTATGAGATGCCCCCAAGCAAGTATGCATTTAACTACATGAACACATCTATTACTTCATAGTTTTTTTATTATAGACTTTTTATCCACATGAATGTTAAAGAAACTACAACAGAGTTAAATACCATTTTTGATAACATGATTATATTCTTAATTACACTCAATATTAAACTGTAAAATATTTCCAGAGGAATACAATCTTCATACAGCAGGCAAAGTACCAGTGAGGAAGGGGCCACATGTGTCTCCCAGCTTGCTAGGAAAAGTAGGTTTGTTCAAACATAAGTCCCCATTCCCGGGATTGCTTTTCTTTTTTCTTTCCACTACAAATCACTTCTGTAAAAGCAAAGGACAACTGTGTGGCACCACAGACCACACAGGACCATCATGGATTCCCCACCCAGCCTGTCGGCCAACAGCGCTTCCTGCGCTCTGGGTTCAGGTAGGCTTTAAAAACACAAACATTCAAACTTTGGTTCCACCAAAAGATGTGACAAGCATTGACTGCTCTGGTTGGTTCCCCCCTCCCCCCTCCTAATGAATGATGGCCACAGTCTATTTTACATGGCTGTCCATGCTGCTGTGAGGTCGCTTGTCCTTGGCGTCTCTTGAACCTGACTTTGATTCCCAAGCCCTTTCAATTCGCAGTTTTCCTGCAGGTCCGAAGTGCTCAGTGGTAGGCTGTATCTTACAAGAGAACAAGAGTGAGTGGGTCTGTAACCTGGGATAAGACAGAGAGAGAGAAAGAGAGGAGAGAGAGAGCACATGACAACCTCAGCATAACACAATCAGATAATGAAAACAAAGTGATAGAGAAGGGTTTTTTTTTTAATTACAGTTTCAATACATTTAAAGCAAAGTGTGTGTTATATGCATGTATATAGGTTGCTGTGGGTGTATGCATGCAGGTGCACATGCATGCCCATCAGTGTGTATGGAGAAGCTAGAGGTCAATGCTGGTGTCTTCCTAGATCGCTCCCCAGCCTAGTTTTTGAGGCAGGGTCTCTCACTGAGCCTGGAGCCCCCTATTTGGCTAGGCTGGATGGCCAGTGAGCTCTGGGGATACACCTGTCTCTGCTCTACCGGTGCTGGGGGTTCAGAAATGCACAGCTGCATGGTTGGTAGGCCTCCAAACACAGGCACTTATGCTTGCGTAGCAAGACCTTTGCCAGTGAGTCCATCTCCCCAGATCCTGAACACACTTGGTCTTTAAAATGCAAGGATGCTAGTATCTTTGTTTGCATATGAGTGTCTGCTGTGTTAGATTGTGCATCTCTGCTGACACTGGAACAAGCTAGAACTGTTCATTAAATTGGAGTGTGCTGCCTCGCTGGGCCTTCTTCACGATAAAGGTATTTGACTCGCTTTAGAAACTCCAGCTTCCCGTTGTTGGGCAAGTATTAAGCCAGCCTGCCATGGAGGAGCAGAGGCAGTCCATGCCCCCTGGCCTGCTGGTTTTGGTTGGATGCTCTAAGTCATGCTATTTCATTCATCCATCTATCCATCCATCCATCCACCCATCCATCCATCCATCCATCCATCCATCCATCCATCCATCCATCCATCCATCCATCCGTTATTTGCTCTTATGATGTCAGTGAAACTGTAGAAGCACGCCTAAAGGTTTTGTGATTCAGAATCTGATTGGCACATTCATAACTGATGAAAAGACGTGAAGAAGGCCGCAGCTGCAGGTCACAGGTCAGAGAAGCACAGATCAAGTTCAGGGTCTCCGGCCACACTGCGGATATCGGGCCCATGTCTCTGCTCATCAGATGAGGGACAGCAGAGCAGCAGTCTGCATCTCAGGGGGTTGACTTGCATAGGACGACTGACCTACGGTGCTGAGGACAGTGGGGGCGCATTGCTGTTCCCGGTAGAGGTTCTTGTCCCCTAGGGTCTGACTGGAGTCACCCCCGCCTCTTCATCTTTGGTCATGCATAGGGAAGGCAGAGGGTTCAGCTACGTCCTCTCAAGATCCTTTTGCAATGTTTTTCTCACTGTTCTTAGGCTGTTTTTTTTGTTTGTTTGCTTTTCCATAAGTGAAAAGTGGAAATGCTGGTAATTTAGCAAAGAGGTAGATATTCTTAACACAGGGGCAGAAATCGCATTTTCAGACTCTCTAGGAGTGTCCAAAGCAGCAGCTGGTGATAGAAATAATGCAAACATAGGCAAAACCAGGGAGGGGTCATCGTCTGTGGGTCTGTAGCTGGGGCTGGAGAGATGGCTTAGTGGTAAAGAACGTGCAATGCTCTGGTGGAGGGCTCTGGGTCGGTTCCCAGCAGCCGCATTTGGCTGATAACACATG